AAAAAAAAAAGATAAATAATTATCTTGTAAATTTCCTATCTAAGCCATTATTACGATTTAAAACGATATTGTGTTTATAAAAGTATTATTTAGATTGTTAGTTTTAATCCATTCCTGGATGATATGTAATAATAAAATTGGTTTATTATAAAGTTCGCTATTAATAATGTTTCTATTCTTCGATGATTAAAAGCAAAGTTCATATGCTAATAGATTATCGTTTATCATTGAATTTACAAGGTTTAAAAATTTTATTCGTTCAAGGTTACAAAATTTAATAATTTGGAAGATTTTACGGTTTAAAAAATTTTGAGATTTACGAGTTCTGATTTTGAAAAGATTCTACCAAAACATTCGTATTTTCTAAAAATCCCTTCATACTTAACTCGCGAGATCGTGCATTTTCGGTGGCATAAAAAGGCCAATTACATCATTAACCAATCTCCTGATTGAGCGATATCCCTAATCTAAGAAAAAATTTCTAAAATTACTAAGTTAGTTATGCCATCCATAGAATCCACTGTTTCCACTAATGATCTATAAATGTTTGTAATAATTCTTCTCAAAGATGATGCTGACTGTATTCAAATTGGCACAGCAAAAATATTGTCTTAAGTTTCAAACTACTCAATTCACATTCCACAACTACACCAAAATGTTTCTAACAAATATGCAATTTCAAGGATTCTCTAAATTCTTCTTTCAAAAATAGCATTGTTTTCGCAACATCAGTCTGTATTTGTTTAATGTCTGATTACTGTTATTTTTTCATCTTTTTTTTCTGTTTCAATGATTTCAATCTTACTGTGCTTTGATTGCAAATATATGTTTTTTTAATAATTTTTACTATATAATTTTTACTATATAATTTTAATAAAATAAATGTTACATATATCTTGCGACCAATACAAATTGAAAAGATTTTAAGTGTGTCTCTTTAGCAAACTTTTGGCATATTCGATCTATTATTTATTTTAATAATATTAATTTTTTTTAATGTAATTTTCAACACAAAGATTTAAATACTAATTTAATATTAATTATTTAGAGAGATCATCCGCAAATATTCATGCACATAAAGACATTATAATATACGTATTATTTTTTTTGTTATATTATATAAAATTTTTAATCAAAACATCTTGATTTATATATATTATGTTATTTTAAAATTAATATATTTTGATTTAAATTGGCAAATTTATATAATAACTTAAAATATTTTACATCGAAGCATATTCTCTTTGTTGGATTAAATTATTTGATAAGCAACTCTGAAACCTAATGATTCATCTGTGACATATTTTCCTCCGGAAAAAATGATAGATTTAAGTTTTTTAAGTTTAAATTTTTCATTTATTTATTTAATTTATTATATTTCCTAGTTTACATAAACAATCATTTTTCTATTATTTCATTATTTATAAAATAATGCACAAATAAAAATCGAATTAATTGCAAAAAATGCCAAAAAGGCATTTCTTTTTAAATATAGAATTTTCAATATTTATTTTTAACTAATAAGATTGAATGATTGATTTTTTGATTTGTGACATTAAAATGAATAAAAAAAATATGTTTCGTTTCATCTATATTGCTATCCCTTCAGTTTTCAAATTTTTTTAATTTATAAGGCTTATATTTATTTATAATACATTGTCTAATTTATATTTATATTATAATTAAATTAAAAAATTATAATTAATATAACGATTAATTTCTACTATTATAATTTTTTAAAAATTTCTTGATATATTTTATTTATCATTTAATATAGATTCACTTATCCCGAATCTTCTCAAATATTGCATCCATTTTTTGTAAATAGATTTATTAGTACAATCATGTACAATCAAAAGTATTTTTTTTATTATACATGAAATAATATTCCTATATTCATAATTTTCGTTGTTATCTTTTTTATCCTTATTAAATAGAACTATAGTTTTTGCGAAATGATAATATTTAATATTATTATATCATTATTATGATAGACTTTTGATGAATTGTTTTTTTTTTAAACTATATTATAAAATTCATTGTTTCTTTGTATTTTATTAAAATTGCTTAATTAAATATTGTTTACAAAGAAATATAACTTGTTAAGAATATAATAAGAAAGATTATAATATGTTGCTCGTACATGATTACTTTTAAGCAATTATTTAAATAAATATCACAGTATATTAGTTTTATTTTTGAGATAATATGATAATCGATATACGAGACATATCATTTTCAATTTTGAGACAAATAGCAATTGACTATTTTTCTTATCGCTATTTGAGTTTGCATTGTAGAATATGTGGAAATAATGAGATAAAAAATAAAATTATTTTCGAACATTATTCAAAAGATTATTATTAATTAATATCTTTGTCCCTGATTGATGATTGATTGAACTAGAACTATAAGGGAATGTAATGGTTTATATAAATGCTGTAGTATCTTAGTATCTTTTTTTTTAGATTTTGTAATGATGATTTTTTGAATTTTGTCATCATCGATGATGAAAATCCACAATATGATTTAATATCCATTTCAATATACAAAACTTATTGGTTGCTATATATCAATTTCTAATGAGTAGTTTATTAAAAGATATAAGAGGAATGATATTACTTAAATCAGAGAAAATTATCAGGAAATGTGATTAATATTGTTTCGATTTCAATAATTTAATTGTTCATATATGAATAATTTATGTTCGAGTTTGTGTAAGATAGTATTTAAATGATTTTATCATCATCTTCTACAGAGTCAGAACATGACGACAAAACATGAAGATGAAAAATGCTATGAAATTATCTTGGAAATAAAATATTTACGTATTTAATTATCGATGGAATTAAAAAAGTTGACATTTTAAAAAATTTTTTTTTAAGTTATTTTTTAAAAGTGATTATCAAATCGATGATTAATTGAAGATATACTATCTTCTACAAAACAGATAAATTTTTTTTATTGATTTAAAGTATTTACAATCAATTCCTTTTACAAAATTGTAAATAAATTTATTGTATATATTGTATTGTAATATGTGAAGTAACTTATATTAAATCGTTATTTATATAAGCTTGTAAATGTATGAATTATTATTGTAAATAAATAGTTATAATTATAGTTATATAATTATATAGTTATAATTATTGTAAAAATATCAAATTTAATTAGTATATCTGTTGATTAAATTTAAGAAAATATATTTTTTAGTCTACTAAAAGTCTAATTGTTAGATATCGGTGAATCAATTCTGCTAATAAATTTTTATTTTGTGATAACAGTAGTATGTAACATTTTAATTTTTTAATTTTATTTATAAATTAAAATATTTTAATTTTTTTATTTTTATTTTAAGCTGTGCACATTTTGTTTAAATATGTTTTTTTTATGTTTGTTTCCTGTCTAGAATCATGTCAAAATATTTAACTGACTCTTTTTGTGAAATTATTGAGTTCATTTAATTTTACTGAAGAGATATGTGTTTTTGCACAGAATAAGGATGATAGGAACTGATTTATTTTCCTTTACTTGTATATTTTAGTTTTTAAACCAATTAGCTTATTTAAGTATTCTTATAATTTTTAGAGAGATTTTTAAGAGATTATCATGTGAAGAATTGCAATATCATCTACAAATATGGATGCGATTCTTTTGAAGAAGTTTGTATGGATTAGATATAGGATGGATCTTTGCACACTTTTTTGCAGAATTTCAAAATTAAATGCCACACTTTGTCAAATGCCTATTTAATATTTATGATATAATAAAATGATAAAATAATATCATTTGTATTCTAGATTTTTTCTTATATGATCGATTAGACTATAAACTTATTAAAGAATCGAATAATATAGTTCTTCTAAAGCTGAATTGGTGTTCCGATATTATATTGGAACCGTTAAAATAGATTTTATACATTTTAATAACGATTTTTCGAATTGGTAAAAGACT